GTACAGTATCTCACTATGCAGCTCAGACTCAAAAGTAATCCTCCTTTAAAAAAAAAAAAAAGATTATAGGGATGAATCTTTCTGGACCAGGAAGATAGCTCAGTAGAATAAGCGCTTCAGTTCTGCGGAGGGGAGAAAAAAATAGGCCTCCTGTTTTCTGCTTCCCCAGCACTGGGATTACAGGCATGCGCCACTGCACCTGGTCTTGGTAGCTGGCTCAGTGTGCCCAGGGTCAGGGCTGGCATGGCAGGTGGTGCTGGGGATTGAGCCCTGGTCTGTGTGCTTACCTAAGCAGGCACTTAGTCTGCTGAGCTATCTTGCCAGCCCTTTTCATATTTGTTAACTATCTGGAGAAAGAAATAGACTGGATAGTCTGCTGTTTTCTTTAATGTGTTTGGTACAGGGTCTTACTGTGCAGCTTGGGCTCGTAGTGATCCTGTTTTCAGACTCAAAAGTAATCCTCCCCCAACGCTGGGATTACAGGCATGGGCCACTATGCCCGGACTTGTTTTCTATATTATACAAATAATAAAAGTTCTCAGGCAGCAAGATATGAAAATGTTTCTCCAGACTGTTCAGGTGAAGAATGGCAATAGAGCAATCCCCAGGCAGCAGGATTTTTGTTGTTTTGTTTGTTACTGTTTGTATTTTCTTTTACACTATTGGCCTTTAATTTGCATATGTAGCCCAGACTGGCCTTGATTTCTGGCCAGGGATTTCTCACTGAACTGTACCCCACCCATTTTTTTCTTTTGTTTTGGGACAAGGTCTTACTGTTGCTAAATTGCCTTGGCTGGGCTCAAATTTGTGATTCTCTTGGTTCACTCTTCCAGAACTTCTAGATGACAGATGTTCGCCACCACACCCAGCTCTGCAACTTTTCATACATTTAAAATTATTCAGACATTTAAAAAATGTGATAAGTTGATCTTGCTCTGCAGACTGGATTTTTTCCTACCTTTAATAAATGATTTTATTCTGTTCTATTTTGTGATAGGGTCTCACTGGGTTCAGGCTGGCCTTTGAATTTGCGTATGTAGTCCAGACTGGCCTTGAACTCACAATAATCCTTCTGCCTCAGCCTCCTGAGTACTGGGATTACAGGCATATACCACTGTGCTTGGCTACCTTTAATAAATGTAAATCCTTGGGGCCAGGGAGATGGTTCAGTGCAATAAATGTAAATCCTTGTTTTAAAGAAAAAAAGTGATAGGCTGATTCTAATAATAAATTTAATAGGAATATAAGGTACTAGGCTTAAGTACAGAATGTTAGCAATAACTTTAGCAGTTGTCTTTTTCCTTTTTTTCCTCTTTTCATTTGTTGTTTTACTCCTTTCTTTATAGTACTGGAGGACTGAGTTCTGAGTTCTTGGCTGGCCTTGGCAGTGTAGTGAGACCCTGCTTCAAAAGAAAAAAAAAAATAGTGGGCATAGTGCGATATTACATCTGTAATCCCAGCACTCAGGAGGATTGCCCTGAGTTTGAGGCCAGCCTGGGCTACATAGCCAATGAAGTATGTATATAGGTGGGTTTTTTTTTTCGGAACCGAGGATTGAACTCAGGCCCTTGCACTTACCAGGGAAGCACTTATTCTACTGAGCCATCTCCCCGGCCCCAAAGTATGTATATAGTTTGATGATACAGAATTTACTTATCCAGTTGTTAGATCATCACCACCATCCATGCTACATTTGTATTTCAAACAGATGATCTTGTTTGCAGATTTGAAAATGGATTAGAGGAGGGAAAAGTTGTTGAAAAACTTCATGGGAAGCCACACATAAAGTAGAGTGGATTTTGTCATTTTCTGGGTGTCCTGTGGATTGTTGGCTGCCAGGTACCACAGGAGCAAGCAATGCACTGAAATGAGAGGAAAGGAGCCCTCTTCTCTGGTGTCATGTCAGCGCCCTCTACAGGGAAAAATCGAAAAATGGCCACTGATGGGCAACCAACCACATGGGCAAGGACCAAGGCTCTTTTGGGACCCACAGAAATGATGTCTGTGATCCTGTTTTGGGAACAAACACTACATTTGACCCAATTCTGGCCCTAGATATGTGATCTTAAATAAAGCCCCGTACACTCCTTCATTTGGTAAAACAAGGGAAATAGTTCTGAATATGATGAGTTTGTTGAAAGTTGATTCTAGGAACTTTATTTTTATTACTTTTCAGCCTCCCAAATCCTGGGATTATGTGTATGCATCACCACATCCAGTCTCTTGGAACTTTTAATAGCAAATATAAAGTAAGCCTTAAAACAAATTATAATAGAAACAATTTATACTGAATAAAGCCAGGTGTGGTGGTGTATACCTGTGATCCCAGCACTCGGAGGCTGAGATAAGATCACCATTATTTCTTTTTTTTTATTTTATTGATAAACAGATAGCAATGAGACAGTTGATCACCATTATTTCAAGGCCAGCGCCTATACTACAGAACAAGTCCCTGTCTCAAAACAAACAAAAAAACATTGCCAGGGCAGAAAAAAATCCCTTCTTAAATGTTTCGAGGTTTGAAGGAGGAAGAAAAGAGATTGGCAGGATAATAGAGACTAGTGATTGTTTTATTTTTTGTGGTACCAGGGATTGAATTCAGGACCCTGTGCTTGCCAGGCAGACACTTACTCTAGTGAGCTATCTCCCTGGTCCTGGAAACTAGTGCTTTGAGAGTCGTAAGAATATTTATTACAAGCTTGAACAAATGTTTAAACAGAAATGATATACATTGGGGCTGGTGAGATGACTCAGTGGTCTAAAGCACCTATTTAGAACAAGCTAAGCTAAGCAAAGCACAGGGACCGCGGTTCGATCCCCCAGCACCACATGCCAGCCAGCCCCGCCCCCTGGTGGACTGAGCTGGACACACACACAAAATAAATAAATAAAATTAAAGAAAAGAAAAGAAGTGATATACATCAATGCTTATACATGCATGGACATCTCCAGAAGAATAAGAATAATACTGTTCTCTGTATAGAGAACTGGGAGGAACAAAGATGGAAAGGGAGAGTTCACTGAATACCTTTCCTACCTTTTGGGTTCTGTACATGTGTAGATGTTATCTGTCTAAATACAAAATCACTTAAAAACATTGAAACTTAAAAGATAGTAAGAAGCTGGAAGTAGTGACACAAACCTGTACATTAAGCCCCCCACTTATAACCAGCTTCTATTTTGGAGAATTGTTCATAAGTTAGATTAGTTCATAAGCCAAAAAAGTGAGTCCTATACAGTACTCTTGTGAAAGTTCACAACTTGAATATTTGTAAGTTGGGGACTTGCTGTAATCCCAAAATACTTGGGAGATAGAGATAGGAGGATTGCAAGTTCAATACCAGCCTGAGCAGTTGAGCAAGATCCTATATCAATGAATAATTGGGTATATAGCTCAGTGCAAGACTTGGGTTCAGTCCTCAGTACCTCTCTCACAAAGAATGTTAATTTAAGTATAAGAAAAGATGGCCCTTCTTTAAGGCCATCTATCTGCCTTAGTGAAAATGGAAATTTTTTTAAATACCTAAATCTTAGTTTACATATGTTAGGGACTTTCCTTCTATATAAACTGTTCTTGGGGCTGGTGAGATGGCTCAGTGGTCTAAAGCACCTACTTAGAACAAGCTTAGCAAAGCCCAGGGACCACAGTTCAATCCCCAGCACCACATGCCAGCCAGCCCGCCCCCTGGTGG